TCTGCTCCTATGATGCTGCTTGGCCTGCTGTGTTCATCCAGCCCTGCACCTTGTTGTCTCGGATTCTCCAGCATCTGCAGTTCCTACTATCTCTCCTCCAGTCCCTGGCACGGATTAGTGGGGAATACAGCGCTGACCGAGAGCTGGGAGGGGAATCTATTAGAGAATCTATTGGAGAACTCTTACCTGTGTTCGCTCCAGTAACGATAGCCGTTTTGCCGCGGAGATCCACTGGACACTGTCTTGGTTTCCATGAGCCTTTCCTCTGCAGCCTGAGAACTAGATACAGAAGCGCAGCAACGATAAACCACAGAGGGTGAGAGATCAGTGAAAGGAGTTGAGAGGTAAGCTGAGATAGTTCCATGCTTTCACTGAGTCAGCGATGTTTCTGCACTGGGGACTGATATCTCCATAATTAATCATTAACTTGTATTTTGGAAACTTCTGATAGATCGTAAACTACTAATCAGGAGGTGGTTCCTGCGACGAGACAACACAGTACAGAGCAGGAAAGCCGACGTTTCGGGAAGGGAGCTCTAAATAAATAGGAGGGGTAGGTGGGATGGTGATAGGTGAGTGCAGGTAGGCAGTGATGGGGATCGGTCAGTGGGGTGGGAGAGAAGATGAACAGGTAGCCTTTCTGCTCCTATGATGCTGCTTGGCCTGCTGTGTTCATCCAGCCCTGCACCTTGTTGTCTTAGACTTGAGGCGTTTTGCTTGTTAGATGAACAACGTCATAGAATTGGTTTAGAATTTGTAACAAATGGAAATTCATCTGGAGAAGCTTGAGGCTAAAAACACAAAAGAGGCTGGAAATCAGAAACAAAAAAACAGAAGTTGCTGGAGAAACTCAGCAGGTCCAGCAGCATCTATGGCGAGAAAGCAGATTTAACGCTCCAGCAACCCTGCTTCAAATCATGAGGATAGATAGCTAATCAGATTTCACATTGGATCATTGGAAGGTTTTTTTGTGTTTGAACATACCAACTGGGGACAACAAGGCCCTTTGAGCCTGCTTTAACATTCAATAAGACCAGGGCTGATCTGATTTTAACTTCAGCTGTACATTCCTGCAAATCCCCAGTGATCTTTCACACCCTTGGACATCATGGGAATTCCAAAGACTCCCAATCCTCTGAGAGAAATAAAAGTTTCCTCATCTCAATTTTAAATTATTTTTAAATGATGATCTCGAACTTTGTCTGGATTCTCCCCCAAGAGGACACGTAAAGCTGCCAGTAATTGTCTATAATGTTAATAATGGTGAATTCCCAGGATTGTAAGTGTTGCTGGCAAGACATCACTCTAATTGTTCTAAGATGCCCTCCTGAACCAAAGCACCCACCCACCCCCACCACAAACCTTCTCTCATTCCCTCCCTTCCTGCTACACCTCCCCCATCTTCACTGTATCCTACACTCCCCCACCACAAACTTTCTCTCATTCCCTCCCTTGCTGCTACATCTCCCCCATCTTCACTGTATCCCACCCTCCTGACCCCCAATCAGTAATCTTCCGATTACAGGGTATTGGCAATGGCCTCATAATCCAGAGACTCAGCAAATGTTCTGGGGTTCCTGGTTCAAATCCCCCCACGACAGATTGTAGAATAAGAATTCACAAAACACCTGGATTGAAAACTCTACTGCCAATTGTCAAAATAAACCCATCTGGTTCACTAATGTCCTTCAGGGAAGGAAATCTGCCATCTTCACCTGGTCTGGCCTACATGTGACTCCAGACCCACAGCAATGTGGTTGACTCTGTTACCCTCTGAAATGGCCTAGCAAGCCACTCAGTTGTACCAATCGCTACAAAGTCACAAAGAAATGAAACCGGACGGATCACCTGGCATTGACCTAGGCGCCAGAAAAGACAACGGCAGAAACAGTCCTGTTGACCCTGCAAAGTCCTCCTCACTAACATCTGGGGGTTAGTCCCAGAATTGGGAGAGCTGTCTCACAGACTAGTGAAGCAACAGCCTGACATGGTCTTATTCACAGAATCATACCTTACAGACAATGTCCCAGACACCACCATCACCATCCCTGGATATGTCCTGTCCCACCGGCAGGACAGACCCAGCAGAGGGGGTGGCACAGTGGTATACTGTCAGGAGGAAGTTGCTCTGGGAGTCCTCAACATCGACTCCGGACCCCATGAAGTCTCATGGCTTCAGGCTCAACATGATTACCACATACTGTCCTCCCTCAGCTGATGAATCAGTGCTCCTCAATGTTGAACAAACACTTAGAGGAAGCACTGAGGATGGGAAGGGCACAAAATGTACTCTGGGTGGGGGATTTCAATGTCCACCACCAAGAATGGCTCAGCAGCAGTACTACTGATCGAGCTGGTCGGGACCTAAAGGACATCGCTGCTAGGAGAGGAAACAGCAGATGCTCCGAGGATTATTTTCTGATCCTCACTAGACACAGGTGAAGTGCCGGAGGACTGGAGGAATGCAAATATGGTTCCATTGTTTAAACAGGGTACAAAGGAAATGTCAAACAATTATAGGCCAGTTAGTCTTAATTCAGTCATGAGAAAATTGTTAGAATCAATCCTGAGAGACCAGATAAACTGTCACTTAGAAAAGCCTGGACTAGTCAGGGATAGTCAGCATAGCTTTGTTATGGGAAAGTCATGCCTTATAAATTTCATTGAATTCTTTGAGGAAGTGATAATGAGAATCAATGCAGTGGATGTTGTCTACATGGGTTTTAGTAAGGCATTTGATAAGGTCCCACATGACAGGCTGGTCAAGAAAAGTAAAAGCCCGTGGGATACAGGGTGATGTGTTGAATTGGTTCCAAAGTTGGCTAAGTAACAGGAAACAAATGGTATTGGTCAATGGCTGCCCATGTGAATGGAAAGCTGTTTCAAGTGGTGTATCGCAGGGCTCAGTGTTGGAACCCCTGCTGCTTGTTTGATACATTATTTGGAGTTGAACAAGGGCAGCACAATTGGGAACGTTGCAGACGACACAAAGATTGGCTGTACAGTGGATAGTGTTGAGGATAGCTATAAACTCCACAATGATACAGATGGGTTGGTGGAGTGGACAGGAAAGTGGCAGAGAATTTAACTCTACTAAGTGTGAGGTAATGCATTTACAGAGGTCAAACAGTAAAGGGGAATACGTAATAAATTGGAATATACTGGGATGGGTAGATGAAGTGAGAGATCTTGGCTTGTAAGTGCACAGGTCCCTAAAGGTCGCAGTACAAGTAGGTAAGGTTGTAAAGAAGGCATACAGAATGCTCTCCTTCATTGGCAAAGGTATAGAATATAAAGGTCAGGGTATAATGATGAAACTGTGTAAGACACTGGTGAGGCCACAGTGGAGAAATGTGTGCACTTCTGGTCACCACATTACAGGAAGGTTGTATTTGTTATAGAGAGAGTACAGAGAAGATTTACTGGAATGTTGCCAGAGCTGGGGAGTTTGTAGCTTGGAAGAGAGATTAGAGAGGTCGGGCTTGCTTTCCTCAGAACAGGAAAGGCTGAGGGGTGACATTGGAATAGAACACAGAACCTGTACAGTGTGGAAACAGGCCCTTCGGCCCATCCCCTTATTCGATCCTTGGAGCATCCCACCCAGGCCCAACCCCTTATAACCCACCTAAGCTACACATCCCTGAACACTACAGGCAATTTAGCATGGCCAATACACCGAAACTGTACATCTTTGGACTGTGGGAGGAAACCCACACAGACACGGGGAGAATGTGCAAACTCCACACAGACAGTCGCCCAAGGGCAGAATCAAACCCAGGTCCCTGGTGCTGTGAGGCAGCAGTGCTAACCACTGAGCCACCGTATACAAAATTGTAAGGGATAGAGATAGAACAGACAGGAAGAATCTATTTTCCCTTGGCAGACAGTTCAAAAACCAGGTGTCATACATTCAAGGTCAGTGGCAGACGATTAGAGAAGATGTGAGGAAAATCCTTTTTTACACAGAGGGTGGTGGATTGTCTGGAATTCACTGCCTGAGTTGGTGGTGGAGGCAGAGACAAATGAATTCTTTAATAAGTGCCTGGATCTGCACCGTAAGTGCTGTAAGCTACAGGTCTATGGACCATGTGCAGGAAGATGGGATGAGAAAAGGTATCTGGGTGTCTTTGGTTGGTATGGACAAGATGGGCTGAATGGCCCTCTTCTATGCTGCATCATTTCTATGGTTCTCTGGTAGACTGGGTCTGTGGCAGGTGGTAGGGGGTAAACATACCTGACCTCATCCTTACTAATCTGCCAACTTCAGTTGTATCTGTCCATGACAGTATCGGTAAGAGTGAGCATTGCACAGTCCTTGTGGAGACAAAGTCCCGCCTTCACATTGAGAACAACCTCCATCATGTTGTGTGGCACTATCACCGCGCTAAATGGGACAGACTTCACACAGATCTAGCAACTCAAGACTGGGCATCCACGAGACACTGTGGGCCATCAAAACCAGCAGAATTTTTTTTGTTTATTCATTCACAGGATGAGGACGTTGCTGGCTACGCAGCATTTATTACCCATCCCAGAGGGCAGTTAAGAATCAATCACATTGCTGTGCGTCTGTTAGGCCAGACCAGGTAAGGATGGCAGTTTCCTTCCCTAAAAGACATTAGTGAACCAGATGAGTTCTTAATTCCAGATATTTATTGGATTCAAATTCCACCATCTGCTGTGGCGGGATTCAAACCTGGGTCTGCAGGACATTATCTGGGTCTCTGGATTAACAGTCCAGTAATAATGCCACTAGGTCATCACCTCCCCCATGGATTGTACTCCAGCACAATCTGTAACCTCATGGCCCGGCATATCCCCCACTCAACCATTACCATCAAGCCAGGGGATCAACCCTGGTTCAATGGAGAGTGCAGGAGGGCATGCCAGGAGCAGCATCAGGCATACCTGAAGATGAGGTATCAACCTGGTGAAGCCACCAAACAGGACTACTTGCACGCCACACAGCGAAAGCAGCAAGTGATAGACAGAGCTAAGTGATCCCACAACCAATGGATCAGATCTAAGCTCTGCAATCCTATCACATCCAGTCGGGAATAGTGGTGGACAATTGGTTCAAACATGGGAAAAAGAGCTGAATTCCAGAAGTGAGATGAGGTGACGGCTTTGATATCAAGGCTGCACTTGACTGAGTGTGGCATCAAGGAGCCCTGGCAAAACCAGGATCAATGGGTATCAGGGGGCAAACTCTCTGGTGGTTGTGTTGTGTGTAAATGTCCTGCACTGAAACAGTTATCCAAACTTTATTGCAATTAGCAACCAAAATAAGACCTCTCAAGTAGGCAAGTTAGACCTTATGACTCAACTTGGCTAATCCAACCCAACCTGATTAATGGTGGAATTTATTTACAATTCCAACAGTCTGTATCTGATGTGTCCAGATTTCAGTCCTTGTGCAGTGTTTTTCTTCAAAGCTCTGCTGCTGCGGATTTGTGGAGCTATCAAGTCTGCAGCTTGTCTTCTCATCAGATACAGCTTCCTTTTTTCTTGTTACATTTGGCATCGACTGACTGTTTGAAGACACAGTCTTCATGTTATTAACAACAATCATTTGTCCTTGTGACATAAAGCAACCAGTTAACAAGCAGTTGTGAATAAAATATTTAGTTCTGTTTTGCAGTGCTGTGGAGCCTGTGGACCATGTGTGTATATTGGGTGTGGGCACTTGCACTTCCCTTTTCAGTTATCTTAAAAACCTCCTTTTGTGTTTTTGGCTGGACTTTAGCCCCATGTTTCCGATCCTTGGGCACCCGCTGCAGAGGGCAGTGGGTCTGCTCCTGGGCCTGGCCAAACTGGCCATTAACAGGTCCAGGCAGCGGGCTTTGGAGGGGGTCATTATGGCCGACTGCCTGCCCCTTTTCTGTGGCTACGTTTGTGCCCGGGGTGTCCCTGGAGAAGGAGCACATGGTATGCACGAATACTCTCGGTACCTTTCAGGAGAGGTGGGCACTGCAAGAGTGTGGAGTGCCCCACCTCTCCCTCCAATTCCATTTTGATTTGATTTGATCCCTACCTTCTCCCTCACTTTTTCTTTCACGTTAGATTTGCCCGTAGGGGCTCTTGTTGATGCTTCGGTCACAAGGGTGCTTTATCTGGCGATGGTTTGTTAATAAAGTTATTTGCACACTTGGTGTTTTTTACTGTGTCTCACGCCTGCACACACACAAGGGTGCTGGGGCAAGTAAACACAAAAAGAGAAAAGGGGAAAAGAAATTTAATAAGGAATCTCCTCAGTTAAAAAAACATTTAATTTGGGTAGAGATAGCAGGAACTGCCGATGCTGGAGAATCTGAGATAATGAGGTGTAGAGCTGGATGAACACAGCAGGCCAAGCAGCATCAGAGGAGCAGGAAGGCTGACGTTTCAGGCCTAGACCCTTCTTCAGAAAATTTTGCTTTGACTCTTTCTTCTCCCAGGCATTGGTAATTGCTTTCAATTCCAGTAGGACAGGTTTGTCCTTGTCCCTTTACAGTTTATTCCAGGCAGGTGTATTGCAGATACTTTCACTCCATGAACAATTATTAAAGTTCTGAAGTTTATCCAATCACACCTGGCACAAAGGCTATGGTTGTTGGAGGGCAGTCATCCTAGCTCTAGGACATTGGGACACAGAAACGGTGAACAGGAGTAAGCCATTTGGCCCCTTGAGCTTGCTTTGTCATTCAGTATGACCATGGCTGATCCTCTCTCCCTGAACGCCATTTTCCTGTTTTCTCCCCATACCCTTTGATGGTGAAATTTATGACTCTTTCTTGAATGTATTCTGTGACTTGTCCTCCACATCCTTCTGTGGTAGAGAATTCCACGGGCTAACTCCTTCTAAGTGAAGAAAAATCTTTCCTTATCTCAGTGCTAAATGGTCTGCCGTATGCTGAGACTGTGACCTCTGGTTGTAGACTCCCCACCCAGTGAACATCCACCCTGCATCGAGTCTGTCTAACCCTATTAGAATTTAATATATTTTCTATCAGATCCCCTCTCATCCTTCGAAACTCTACTGAACACAGGCCCAGTTGAACAAATCTCTCCTCATTCAGCAGTCCTGCCATCCCTGGTATCAGCTTAGTGAACCCCCACTGCGCTCAGTCTTTGGCAATTACCCCTTCTTAGTTTGGGAGACCAAAACTGCATGCAATATACCAGCTATGGTCTCACCA